AGGTCCTGTGTATCATGAAGGCTCCATGGCAAAGCGCCCCATGTCTTCAAAAGCAGAGGTGCAGGTCCGCTAACCACGTGACCAGTCTAGTACCCGAGAAAACCCGATGAAACATTTCGGCAGGGGTCTGGGCAACCGGCAAATGCCAAGCTCGGGTTCTGTGCGAGGGCCTTGGCTTGCTGTTGCTTTTGGGGTCGCTGGGTTTGGGGCGGCTTGGTGGCGTCTGGATCCGCTTGGGCTTTCAAAGGCTTGATACGGTTTTGTAGGGCTCGGGCTCAGTGAGCCCAGAGTGTAAAGTTTCAGAGCTACATGGACTGCGGCGTTTCTCACGGAATCCCGAAACTTCACCACACGAAGACTCCATGCCGCACCAGCACCATGGGACAATCCGCCTACCACTCGTTGCAATCCCACTACCCAGTAGCCCATTGGCAGAAACCATGTTGCCCACTAGCGGAAATCCTGCTAGTAAGCAATGGGATTTGCACGAATGAATGATGGATGTCTGCTTGCAGGCTTTCCATTGGTGGGCAGTGGGCTTTCTCCAGGTGAATAGTGGGACTTCCGCTAGTGGCTAGTCGGCTTTCCACAATGGGATTCCACGAATGAGCAATGGGATTTCCACTGGCAGGTAATGGGCGGAAAGCCCAATCCCCATGACTTTACATCCCACTACGTGCTAGCAGAAGTCCCACAAGTAACACACGGCGATCCCAAATCGTCCAAACCATCAATCAAACAAGTCCCATCTTGGGGCTGCGTGCTGCGACCAAAGCGGGGTCTGATGCCAACGCCTGCCATAGGATTGGAGCATGCCGAAGGCCTATTGCGGTCATTCTTGTGCCATTGACATTCCTCAGGCATCAAGTTCAGAATGCCCTTATGGTTTAGTCTTCTTTCGGGCTTCGGGATGCTCAGTTTAGGGATTGCAGGTTGAGGACACAGGGTCCTGCACCCGCGCGTGTCATGAGAACTCAGGGTAGGAGGCGCGCGCGACTTCATCAGGAACTTACACATCCTGTGGGCTCTTCCCACCTCCTTTGGCAGGGCGCTTTGAGCATGTGATTGAGGTTTTGCATGGAGTGATCTCTTTCCGAGCAATCCCTGTGGAACCTCATGCCCTGCAGCCCCGCATCCGTCCTCCAATTTACATCCACAGCCCCAAGTCAGACACATTCCCAGAGCAAACCTTTAGCCCACACAGCCCCGGTGCTTCTTGAGCTCCGGCCTTGGAAAGCTCCGGATTATTTGCCAAAGCCTTAGTTTCCGGGGGAATAATCCAACACGCATCGTCTGTCTGTGAAGCTCGGACCCTGCTGGGCTTTAGGATGTAGGGTGTGTGGAATTTTCGTGGTCGCCTGCCGCCACAATTCCCCACTCCCAGCAGAACATGGAGCGATTGATACAGAGATGCGTAGTTGGATAGATAGGAAGATGTGCGCATATCATCCTGTGACAAGAATTACAAACGATGGCCTAACATAACGAAACATCAAAGAAGCCCTCATATGATCATGTTCTGATTTAGACATTTCCAACCCAAACGGCTCGCAAAATATGGCCCAAGACAGTTGGAAGGCTCTTACCTGTCTAAGTCCGCCACCGTCGCAAGGGCAGGCTCTCTTGCAACCGCCTGGGTCGAAGTCAGGGCTTTGGGGTTTCCATCTCAAGGCTTAGATTCCTCACACCATAGCCTCGAGTATCATGAGACGTACCGGCCTGAAGCCGACAATCTCGGCCCGACTTAGCTTCTGCGACCCCGACTTGCCCATGCCGTGCGCAAAAGCTAGGAGTCGCTAGGAGTCTGAACTCCAAACTTGTGAACCCTGGCTGAAATCCTACGGGTAGCCCGGAAACCCGAAGTCCTGTAAAAACTTTTAACGACACAAAGCCTAACCCTGCTCGGGCCTCACCTCGACAACGCTGAAATGTGGATTGCGTTGGTGCTCCGGAAAGACTTCTCAAGCGTGTGGCATCGCCAAGAACAGAACGGCATCATATTCGTGGTTCAGGGATGAAGTTTAGGGTGTGTTGTGTGCTCACAACCCAAGCCCCAAAGGGCAGAAAGAGAAGCTTGCAGCTTGCTCTTTTAGCTCTTCTTTTCCCCGCAAGCTTGCGTCTGCCTACCTACGGCCGCAGTCACAGCGCTTCACCGACTTCATCGGTAAACCCGCTCGCAGCACCGATTTGTTCAGGTGTGTATCGTAGATTCGCCAGGTCCCCCGCGGGCACTCGTAAGTCATGGGAGCGACCCATTCAAGCAGGTTGGAGTGAGCATGTTTGGGCAGCGGCTTCTCTCTGTATGTCGATCCGGTGTACAGCTTCTTCTCATAGAGGCCCTTTCCATAAGGGCAAACACGAGTATAATTCATCTCAATGCAGACACCAGATGTCGAGTTCTTCGAGCAATGACTTGTCCACTGCTTCTGGGCCTGGACTCGCAGCCATGTCCACAGCATTTCAGTCTCGTCGTCATAGGTATCAAAATCGTCTTCAGCTTCCGGATCTATCGAGCTGAGTGTTTTAGGCATGTTGTCTTCCTCCATGTAGGTTTGTCTTGGCATTGTCGTCAGCTGACGACGGTCCTGCATCAGGGCTTACTGCTATAGGGTTTCTCGGGCTCCTTTGAGCTGCAAGATTGTAGCCGCAGTTGCCCTACCTGCTTCACACGAACTATCTTCCTGCCTTGCAAGCCCCAAGTACACGACTTCAAGCAGATCCCAGCGGTGGCCAGACTGAAGTGTTTCCTGTTTTCCTATACAGCAAATCAAGCATGATCCAGAAAATCCTAAACCCTAAACCTAAACACGCCCCGGAGCCGTATAAGCCCTAAGCCCTGTCCCATGCACAATAAGAGCATCAACAGTTGGTAATACTGCTCTCACACATCTCCATATAATATAATCCCCAAAGCCTGAAAATTTCTAAACTCTTCCTCCCTAAACCCTAAACCCTAAACCCTAAACCCTAAACCCTAAACCCTAAACTCTTCCTCTAGTTTCTCCGAAGTGTGGCCCCTCCTCAGGTCGGCCCCTGACAGACTCCGGCTCGAATCCTCTTGTGACTCCACCTAAACCCAAACCGTCAGGTTTTGGGTTTCGGGCTTAACCGCCCCCCTTTAAGGCCAGAAAAACCCAACACCCCTCTGGGCTATTCGGCCGCACCTGGCTCTCCGGCAGCCTTAGCCACCAGGACTGTCAAAGGCCTATAAGCATCGCATGCTATGCTTTTAATAAGGAACCCCAAGGACGAGTACTGCTACTAGTGATTTGTTCTTGCTTGTACACGAAGAACCTAAGCTTCGAACCCTGCACCCCTAAACCCTACACAAGCCTCACAAGCCTGGTCCGAGGCACACTATCACTGTCTGTTGTTTCGGCGCTTTCGGTGCGGGCAAACACCTCGTCGCCTCCACCAGACTTGCCTGGAACCCGGGCTCAATTTTTTGGGTTTAGGGTTTCAGGGTTTGCGTTGTTTTGGGGCTTCTGGGGTTGATGGTTCCTGGTTTGTGGTTGGGATCTGACTTAAAGGTGCGGGTTTATGGGGTTTAGGGGGTTCCACACGTTCCGCGAAAACCACCAACCAGGAAGCGTGTTGCGGCGCACGCTCAGGTTTCTACATGTTCGGCGCGAAATCTTCTGAATAAACGCTCTTCGAAATCAAGAAACTTTAGCTACGGAGAGTTTGCGGTGCTCGAAACCCCAGGGGGTGCAAGCTGGACGCGCAATCTTCTATGCACACAAAGGCTCGTTTAAATTCAGAAAACACTTTAGCTATGGAGATTGTGCTGTGTCCGGAACCCTAGAGGTGGTGCAAGCTCCTTTAAATTAAGAAGAAACACTTTAGCTATGGAGATTGTGCTGCAGCTTAGAAGGTTCACTGCCCAACCATATGTCGGGGGGTCTTATTTGGTCGCTGGTAAAGTAAAGATTGGACTGGGGGCATTGCAACAAGGGTGGGCATCCCGGACCGCAGAGGGCCAAAACGCCAAACTGCCGGCAGCTTCAGATTTCAAGGGCCTATTCAAAGTGTAACTTTTTCACAAACAGAACTTGCCGAAATTCAGAGGCCCCTATAAACCCTGAACCTATAAACCCTAAACCCTATAAACCCTATAAACCCTGTAAACCCTATAAACCCTATAAACCCTATAAACCCTATAACCCCTAAACCCCAAACCCCAAACCCTAAACCCTAAACCCTATACACCCTAAACCCTATAAACCCTAAACCCTATGAGCCCTGAACCCAAAGACCTCCCTCCCCAACAGCTCCCAGTCTGCTACTACAAGAGGCCTTGTGGCAGCAGCACGCAGAGGCCGCTTTTTCTCGCACCACGCAAAAGCCGTGGTCCTTGCAGGAACGAATAAAGCAGAAAGTCGGGTTTCCATAGTAGGACCTCGTAGGAGTAAGCACCGTTATGGCTCGGGTAAGCATCCTCCCCATACAGGTATTTAGGACCCTTGGGGACTATAAGCCCGAAACGGGAATTCGAGCAGGACTGTGGGATTCCTCTACATGCCAACCCTAAACACCCTCAAGCCCCTAAGCCCCAAAGCCCCAAAGCCTAAACCGGCGGAAGGCAAGAGGTCCAAGTCCAGGCTTTGAGTTTCCGGCCTCGGGTTCTGCACCCAGCACCCTTGACGGCGAATCTAACCCTACACATAGTCTCCATTGCAATTCCTTTTTGGGGTCACCTTCGAGGATCCGAAATAGCAAACTGGTTAAACCAAAAAGGGAACTACAACCCATAGGTAAAACCTGAGTGAACGACTGAATCTGCTGCTTCGACGAAGCACTTGGGGCCCTTTAGGGTGTTGAGTGGAGCGTTTCAGCCCCCCTTGGAAGTTCTCCGACCACCTAGGCCCACAGCCATGACGGGATCGACTACTGCCGGTTTAGGGTCGGGGTGTTTAAAGTGCTTGAGCTTTCGAATGCATTGTGGCTCCTCTTTTGCTCACCTGCATTCTTTGCTTATAACCATAAGATCTCAAGCCAAGCTACATGGCAGAGTGTGGGCAGGATTCTTTGTTTAGGGCTTGGGGTTCACCACATACTCCCTCCCGCTCCTCCTGAAAGAGGGTCTTGCAGCATCGCAGCTTGTCAAAGCGACCGGCTTTGTGATTGTACTCCACAAACTGGCGCACATCAAAAACATCGACCGCCGCGCTGTTGTAGTTTTTGCCACCGGTGATGTCCTGCTTCGCACTTGGATCTTCGTACTGAGTTGCTGAGGCTATAAGATCCTGTTTCTGTTGTTTCCAGGCTCAGTTCCGCTCAAGAACCCACTGTTGAGTCATCAGACTGCTGAGCATCAGGATTGCAATGCCGATGGCCATAAGCAGTTGCGATTTTGAAAGCAAAAGACAATGGTCAATGTCGGTTCGGCCCGGCACCCTCCAAAGGTGCTACAGCATCTGCAGGCGCCCGGAGCCTGCACCCCTAACACTCCCACCACCCCCTGGGCCCACTCCTCGAAACCCGGCATCTGAAACACCTGCATCCCTTTGAAAGCCCAACATAAGCCCGGGCAGCGGGCACACCTTGCAAGACAACAACCTATGCAATATATACCAGTTGGCACAACAAACGAATGAACTTGCAGATTGAAATCTTCGGATGTGGCCGATGGGTATGGATGGGGTCGCAGTCAACCGTCACTCCAAAGATTAAAACCCGCTAAGGGCCGCTGGTCCTCAATCCTGAAGTTAAAGCCACTCTTGTGGACGACTGGGCTCTTCTGTGAATAGGCGTGCAGGTCCACCTGTTCAGGGGCTCGGGGCTTGGCGGCTTAGGACTTCGGCTTCAGGGAGCTGCATAGTGCACCCTGAACTTGAAACTCCTAGCCCTTCCCCATTTGCAGATCGTAATACATAGTAAACGTCGTCGTCGTGGTGGTCGTTGCCGTAATGGTGGTAGTGGTAGTAGCAGTAGCAGTAGTAGGAGGGTGGTAGTCGTAGTCGTCAGTAGCAGTAGCAGTAGCAGTAGCAGGAGCAGTAGCAGTAGCAGTAGCAGAAGTAGTAGTAGCAGCAGCAGCAGCTGTGGTGATGGTGGTGGTGGTAGTGTGGTAGTGGCAATTGTAGTGGTAGTGGTAGCGGTATTAGTAGGTCGTAGTAGCAGTAGGAGTAGCAGTAAAAACAGTACGCGAATACTGCAAATCATACTAGTACTGTGTTGATGGTAAAAATACCAGTATTCCTACTCGTCACAATTCCACACGTAAACCTGAACCGAATGCACAGCACCTCAAGATCTGCACTGACTCTGCTGACCCGAATGCCCATTGGGTTGGCCACAAGTCCTGGTTTCTTTACGGCTTCACTGTGTTTCTTGTATTCAGGTTTCACATGGGTTGTATGGGGCACAAGTTCTTCATGGCAATGGCGTTCGATGTGTCCAAGGCTCGGGGGTTTATGTTGGGCTGAAGGTGGCGAAAGAATGGGGGCGGGGACTCTACTCATAGGGGCCTTAGCCAATATAGTTGGAACGGGGCCTTGGGACGGACTGTAGCTATGATTAACTTAGAATACAGGCACGCCCGTGTTTTAGCCCTGCTTGGCCCACACGATCCCAAACGCCAACACCGAAAATGCTGCTTTAAAGGCCCCGTCTGCCGTCCAACCAGCAGCATGATGTAGCAGGCACTGGGCGGATCTCTGATTCACAGAGGGAAAAATTACGATCCATCTTGGTGTAGGACCATCCGACGTAGGTGAAGAAGCCGGTGTTCGCGATTTTGCAGCAAAGATTGTTGTCTTCGCCTTTCAGTTCGTGATACCTTGGTGACATACCCGCACAGAAACAACAAACGCCTTGTGAAGGGGCTTGGAAATGGGAATACTCAGAAGAGGAAAGAGCATACCAACGGTACTGGCATAGGAGACTATAATCTAAACCCCATTTGTATAGCGAAGCACAAACGTAGGACCGGAAGCCACAAATTTTCAGAGAGGTTCCTCCAACACACGGTTGAGGGTTTAAGGTGTAGGGCTCATGGTGTAGGTTTTCGGGTTACGGTCATAGGGTTGAGGGTTTCAGGTTCAGGGTTTAGGGTTACGAGGGTTCTACGCATGGCGATAAACCGCAATTTCCCAGCCAGACCACCCTTTTTTGGGGCAGGCAGGTCACGAACCAAGCCGCAATGCTGAGCCATGTTTAGAGAAGACATCGACTCCCGTCAGATTGAGCACCCACAGTCGTGCACCCGCTTGTCACACGCCCCAACCACCCCCAAAGAAGGGCTCCCAAACCACCCACAACACGCAAAGCCCGAAGAGCAGCCTCAAAGGTAGTGCTTTTGGCGATTGCCTCTGAAAGCTAGGAGCGGGCCTTGGGTTAGGGTTTAAGGTGTGGTGACGTCACTGGTGTGTGCACACCCAGGCCGCACCTGTGCATAGCAGACACACCCCACCACCCTGAGTTCAAACATTTTAGGGTATAGTTCTAACTTCTGTGCATCCTAGCGGGGCTCCGACATAACCGACGGGGTCCGTTACTTTTCGAAAGCAGCACTGCATCTGGGCTTTCTGTGAGTCTGTCCCTTTCTGGATTGGGCTTTCTGTGAGACTGTGCTGGCGAGTTTTCATGTGGGCCTTCTGTGAGGCTGTCCTGGCGGGTGCCGGAAGAAGCAATGGATTTGTCTTTCCGTGAGGCTGTGCTGGCGGGTTCTCATGTGGGCTTTCTGTCAGGCTGTCCTAGCGGGTGCCGGAAGCCATTCTAGATCGTGAAGGGTTGGGGGGGTGCAACCCTTGTCACAAGGATCCGCTGGCTTTGGGGAGCCGATCCAAATCGTGTCCTTTTCGGATGGGGCGGCCTCGTCCTTTCGGTGGCCACCAGTCACCTAGCTTTGCCTAGGCTCCGCATGCGCGCTTTCTGCCGCTCGCGAAGCTCGGGTCGCTTCGGGCTCCGCGGTGGCGTCGAGCCCTCAGCGAAGGCTTTAGGGTTTCCTAACCCTAAACCCTACATTCGATACCCATTCGGCGTCGAACTTGCGGAGCTGTAACATGCAAAGCCTTCACCCGAAGCCTTGCATTGTAAACCCCAAACATACGTGGTCTCTTGATGTCTCTTGTCTAGCGAGTAATTAGTACCTATTGGGTGTCGATGTTACTGTTAGCAGATGCCTTCCGGCACAAAGTACTCCAACGTTGGATCCGACAAACAAACCAACACCACAAAAACCTAAAGTCGAATACTGAACCCTAAACCCTAAACCCTGAACCCCAAATCCTCAACCCTTGTCGTCTCCTAGACCCCAACCCTATAGGCCTAGTCATCAAGCATACACCCGACACCCACATCTCAGACCTGTCGAAGATGCCATCTCGGGTCACCTTCCTCCTCACTCGGGCATTCTGCATCCGACTTCACCTGCATTCAGCTACAGGGCTCAGGCTTTGAGGTTTAAGCTAAGGTTGAGGCTTCAAGGTTTAGGGTGTTATCATGGTTCGGCCTCCTGGGCGTTAAGGGTTCAGTCCAGGGCTAAATCTCGCGTGGAATGAGTTTACTCTCTTTGGAGGGTTCTCGTTTAACCCCTGCGCCTGATCTCCCAACCCATGAACACTGAACATCCCCAAGGGCACCACTGCGGCGTAGATCCTAACTCCAAACTCTATCTAAACCCTTTTGACAACCCTACAGCCCACTAAACCCATGGTTTAAAAGGAAAGGGGCCAGCCTTCTTGCAGTAACAGGCATTGTTCTTGAAGCCATGCTGCAGCCTGCCAGTCTCGGTACGCTCCGAGACTGAAGCTTGAACAGGCATATCAGGTGTATCAGGTATATGTTGATAGGCAAACTCATAACCCGCACAAGGGCCATCATCACAATCCTAAACCACACAAAAGTGGCGACAAAAGTGGCAGGCAATAACATCAGACTTGATGGGCACGATAGACATCTTCAGGAGATCAAGAGTGCAGGCAGCATGCTACTGGCTTTCAGAAGGAGCTTCTGCATCCTGCATGGCGCAACCAAGTCACAAGTCGTTCCGCGTCTTGTTATCGAGCGTTGCCCAAGGTACAATATCGATTTCATCGTCCACCAAATCGGCATCCAAGTCGTCTTCCTGGGTCTTGCCTTCCGGCAGTATCATCAATGTCTGTACATATTCTGTACTGTCGAAACACAGAACCCTGTATAACAACAAGCCATGATAACCTTTTTGCCATTGGCGCCCAGCTTCTGTCGCCCGCATGGCACGCGTTCCCAAGGTGCAAAGCAGCAAAAACCAGCAAGATGACGGCATCTGAAGCGCCATGGCGGTGATATGGAAAAAACATGGGTACCACAAGCAACGGCCTGCTGCGGCCGTGAGCAAGTCACGGCTGCCGGGCGAATAGGTGAGTGAACAAATACGACATGCATGTTTAGTTTTGTAAACGGTGCAGTATACTCACTCTAGACCCGAAGTCCCGTCGGAGAACTGTCTCGCTTGTCAACAAGGCTACTGCATAAACATTTGGGCGCACAGGTGCAATCAAAATCTTCCTTGGTTACGAGGATCACTCGGAACTACTTGGCTGGTTGTCTACAACTCAAAACCCTAAACCCTAAACCGGAAGCCCAAAAGGTCTTAAACCCCTCAACCCTGAAACCTGAACCCCCATAGTAATTCCTTCTTGCTGAGGTTGGAAGACCCGTCCCACCCTCCCTTCTCCCCCCACTCGGGTTCAGGTTTGACGTGGGCTCTAGTGCTGAGATTTGTTCCGTAGAATGTCTTTAAACATGTATCGTCTCGGAAGACTCCGGAGGGCCGAGTCCCCCTAACCTACCCCTACTTACCCCCTCCCCTCCTACCCTCTACCTCAGGCTTTAGAATCCTTTGTGCTTTGTGTCCGAAGCAGGAGCGCATTGACATAGGTTCTAAAACCCTGAAACCTATACCAAATCCCAAACCCCAAACCCTAAACCCTACACCCTAGCACATCCGAGACCATGAGCTTTTAGGACTTCCAGGCTCCGGGAGCCCTAAACCCTAAACCCTTGCCCTAAATTCCTCAAATACCCCTAGCACATCCCAGATCGTGAGCTTTCAGGACCTCCGCGGTTTTCTCTGGGGAGGCCTTTTCTGTTGTTGACTTGAGCCCCAGGCGTTTCAGACTCATGGCTTTCTTGCTTTGGCTCAGGCGAGGTGACTCAGGGGTTTTAGGGAAAAGGGTTGAGGGTTTAGGGTTTGGGGTTCGGGGTCTCGGGTCTCGGGTCTCGGGTCTAGGGTCTAGGGTCTAGGGTCTAGGGTCTAGGGTCTAGGGTCTAGGGTCTAGGGTCTAGGGTCTAGGGTCTAGGGTCTAGGGTCTAGGGTCTAAAATCTAGGGTCTAGGGTCTAGGTCTAGGGTCTAGGGTCTAGGGTCTAGGGTCTGGGGTCTAGGGTCTAGGGTCTAGGGTCTAGGGTCTAGGGTCTAGGGTCTAGGGTCTAGGGTCTAAAATCTAGGGTCTAGGGTCTAGGGTCTAGGGTCTAGGGTCTAGGGTTTAGGGTTTAGGGTTCAGGGTTCAGGGTTCAGGGTTCAGGGTTCAGGGTTTAGGGTTTAGGGTTTAGGGTTTAGGGTTTAGGGTTTAGGGTTTAGGGTTTAGGGTTTAGGGTTTAGGGTTTTTGGTTTAGGGTTTAGGGTATGGAGTGTTGGGAGTATAGGTGGACGTCCCTTCTCAAGCCAAGCAGCGCCAAGGAGGCCCGGATTGACGGCCAGCGCCTGGCGGGGTAAACCTCCACTTGCTTTACCTACAAGTAATAAACCTACAAAGCAACAATAGGTCACTTCATCCTAAACGGCCTACATGCTCAAGACTCAAGCCTCCCAAAGGTCCTGAAGCTGCCCTTGGAACCCAAAAGCCTCGAAACCAAACCAAATTCTGTTCCAGCCAGCACAAACTCTGAGCCTTTGCAAAGTTGGGTGCGGATAAGGCCTGAATGCTGTGGTCGAGCGTTCAGGGTTGTGGGGTTCAGGGCTCGTTCGCGTCATTTTGCTTGGAGGGTGGGGGGTTTTGGGCCTTGGCTCTTAAAGCCTCATTGGCGCTTTTGGGTTCAGGGGTCGCGTGGTCGGGTTCACTTCAGATCCTTTTTTTGGTGGGAGGGGGGGGGGGCTGGGAGCGGGTTGGTGGTTTGGGCGGTCTAGAGTTCGTTGCTCTTTCGTTGCTCTTTCGTTGTGCTTTCGTTGCTCTTTCGTTGCTCTTTCGTTGTTCTTTGTGTTCTTGCCTATAACCCCTTCACAAGGCCAAAAGCTCCTCAACTCTTCTGATAAGAAGAAACAGAAAAAACTCCCCCCCCCCTCCCCCCCGAGCGTCTTGAACTCACAGCGAAGTTTTCGGCGGCCGGAAAGGCCACGGAGTCCCGAGGTCCCCAGGTTTCTGGGCGCACTTAGATTAGGGCTGTGAACTCTCTGGCGCCGATCAGCAGGAGTCTTGACCAGACCCAGGCCACCCAGGGCCCTGGCCGAGGCTGCGCCGGGGGCAGCTGCCAGGGCCTTCTGCCAGCTTGCTGCAGCTTAAGGGTACGAGGGTTTCTGCGTACAATGGCCATCAAGGGGTCGCCTGGATTTGTGTAGTCCTGCTTAGCCCTCATAAACTTTAACTGCATCTGTACCCTGGAAAGGTGAGAAGCCAGCAAGGAAGCCATGAACCGCTTGCTTCCACACAACACATTCTGGAGTCAAAAACCTGGCAAACCTTACCCAACACAATCCCACCGACAGCCTTTGTTCAAGAAACCCTGCAACCCTGGGCCCCCAGAGCCCCCCCAGATCCGTTCTCTCTGAGTTCCCGGGCTTCAGCGGCGCCGGGCGCTGCCGCGAGCGCCT